AGGGCCCAGAGAGCAGAGCTTGCTGTTCATGTGCTGTTGGGGAGATGGTGGCGATACTGTTCTTTTGCAGTTGAGATCTGTGCCCTGTGCCCAAGACCGTAGTCTTGGGAGCTAACAGTAGAACCTTGGGGCCAGAGATTGTAGAGCAGGTAACTTGGATGCAACCAACCCTAGTTTGATCCCTGCCACTCAGGTTTTTCCACCCCACACACAGAGTCAGGAGTAGGTCCACATCTCTAGGTGTGACCCAAAAATTAAATCATCAAAGATGGGGACTGGATTGGGCCTTGTTTCTTACAGCATAGTAGAAAACCCAAGGCCCCAAGGAGTCTTTGTGCTCTGCCAGTGTTGTAGAACTCATCTCTCCACACTGCCTTTTTTGGATGCCAAACTGCTTGTTAATATCATGCCAGAAGTTAGGTGTTTTCCTCATGTGAGGTGTAGCAACGACCAGTTTCTTTTTAGAAGTTATTTTGAAATTTTGATTCATAATTTGGTTGTTTTTTTGTTATTAGGTTGTACCAGTGCAGGCCCTCACTTTAATCCTTTTGCCAAAAAGCATGGTGGGCCACAGGACCAAGAGAGGTGAGTGGCTGAGGCTCAGCCCTATGGTAGTGCTAGGGGGCGGCCTGGGAACACACATGCAGGCTTCATGCTATAGTCCTTCCATCTGGTGCATCCCTCCCCTCTGTGTCATTCCCTCATTCCCCTCTGTGTTGGGGTGAACAGTTGACAAATGGGACACATAAAAATAGTTTGGTTTTGTAGCATTTATTGAATTTAGAATACAAAGGGAACTCATACAGGAAATGTCATGAATAACAGTAATGTCAACTCTAGTAAGAAGATAAGCCATCATTGAGATATAGGAAGCTTTGCAGAAATTTGATACTGAAACTTTGGTGAGATTCCCAGCTGTACAGTTTTTGAGAGTGCTCAGGAAAAGGCTAGTTTTAAGGACACAGATTAATTTCTCTGAGAGGTCTGGGGGCAGAGGGTGGCATTGTGGGGGGGGGGGGGGGCTCAATTAGCCTTTTACCAAAAAGGAATAGGCCTAACTCGCCGAGAGTTTACCCTTTGGTTACCAAACAAAGAGGAGCCCCCAGTCCTACACGCTCTTCTCATGCATTTTGTTGTAAAGCCTGTTTGCCCAGCCATATGTTGAGAATGTGTAGTTCTTTTAAATTACATCTGTTAGCCTGCCCTTGCACCTGATGGTTTATTTTAAGTATATGAACTGTTCTGATGCTTGGTGAAATAGGAACCCTGCTCATCTCTCTGATAACCTCTCCCTGTCAGACATGTTGGAGACCTGGGGAATGTGACTGCAGGCAAAGATGGTGTAGCCACCGTGGATATTCAGGACACCATGATCACTCTCTGCGGAGATCATTCCATCATTGGCCGCACCATGGTGGTGAGTGGTCGGACACGGGGGCGTGGCAGTTTCTCAGGGATCTTTTCAGGACCTCGGGACTCTTCAGCCTGTTCTCTACATAAATCCTGCCTAGAGTAGGAAAAGCAGTTCTTTTGTTGATCATTGAAGATGAATTACCTAGTGGTTGGGAGCACTTCCACTGAGAGGCACTAGTAAAGCAGGTGACATTTTATCAGACGACATCTGAACTGTTGTCATCTGGTTTCATGACCACCACAATTGACCTCCTCAGTTGGGTTTCCTTCCCCCTTGCCCTTAGAGGATTTTGCTCAGTCTATACCTGAAAGCGGTGGTGGTGCAGAGCTGAGTATGACTAGCATTGACCACTGTAGGTTTGTGTCCTTTGTTTAGCATGGGAGGCAGTTGCCCTGTTAACTGGGGTGGGAGGGTGCATGGGCAGGACCTGGTCCGTGCAGAACACCAAGTGCCAGTGCGTCTGTCCCCTCAGGAAGTAGCTTTCAGTTGGCCCATTAGCTTTGTTTCTTGCTGGTCAGTGGGAAGCAGAAAAAGGACTGGAAAAAATTTTTTTTAAGTAGTCTTGCTCGAGAGCTTTTTAAGGCCACCTTTTATAGGTAGGGCTCTATTTCCTTAGGCACCACTTTGATAGTTTTTCTTTTAGTTCACCTTTTTCCCTTAAACCAATTTATACTGTGAAAGACACTATTAACTCTAGCACTGACATTCCTCTAGGGGGCTGAGCCGCATGAGGTGCCTGTCAAGTTTGCGTATTTCATGTAGAGACTAATAAGCCCAGTGTTCTAAGTGACCTGTGTTTTTGCATTAAGAAAAAGGTTTAGTATTTTTAATCACGAGTCTACTCCTTATGATTATAATGTTCTTTCTGATAATTACTGGACATCCTTCAGTGACGCGTTCTTGGAATTTTTTGAAGGTCCATGAAAAAGAAGATGACTTGGGCAAAGGTGGAAATGAAGAAAGTACAAAGACAGGAAATGCTGGAGGTCGCTTGGCTTGTGGTGTCATCGGAATCGCCCAGTAAACATTCCCTAGGACATGATCTGTGTCCTAGTAACTGTTATCCTGCTAACTGTAGAAATTCCATTCAGTAACATTAAACACTGTAACTTAAAAAAGTATAATTGGTGTGACTTTTTTTTAAATTGCTTAAAGTGTGCCTATAATAGGAACTGATTATGAACACTTGAAAGATTTGTATAATTTTATAAAACTCAATTAAAACTTATGTTTAAATGAACTATATGTTGCCAGACTTAATCACCTATGGGTAGTAAAGTTTTCACATTTCAATTCCCATTCAATCCTGCAACAAACAAATACCCTCTATAGCACAATTCTTTGAACTTACTAAAATTTTAAATTAGCTGGTACTTTAATACTTTTTTTTTTTTTTTTTGGCCACAGCCAGCAATGCTCAGGGGTAACTCCTGGTTCTGCACTCAGGAATTAACTCCTGTGGTACTCAGGGAACCTGTGGGATGCCAGAGATTAAACCTGGTTGGCTGCATGCAAGGCAAGTGCTCTGTCCACTATACTATCCAGTGTATTATCAGCTATTTTGAAATTGTTTTAAATAATATTTTTAACTATTTTAAAGCAATCTTCACCAATAGATTGACCTTTTGTTAACTTTAGAATTTTTTTCTCTGCCTAGCTACTTATTAGTACTTTGAACTAATAAGTACTTAAATCTAATTTTTTAGATTTTTTGAGAGCCCATTGATAACTTACTGATATTGTAAAGGGCAGGTTAAAGCCTCGGTTAGCTAAGAGTGATTTAACTACCTGCCAAATGACACATCCAAATATACAGTTAATTATTAGAGGTCACCAGAGTTTAGTTTTAGATGATCCTTTTAAAGAAATATAATACAAAGTTATAAAATGGAACCAAGAAAATAATTGTACATTTTGGTTCATGAAGAATTTAAACATACACCTAATAAATTCAGGCCTATTTCTCTTAATGTAAATACTAGATTTTAAGTTTCTGGGCCACACCTTGCAATACTCAGGGGTTACTCTTGGCAGTGCTCTGGGGACCATATGGGATGTTGGGGACTGAACCCGGGTTGATAGCATGCAAGGCCAAGTGTCCGATACCCTGTACTATTGCTTGGCCTCCAATACTAAAAATTTTTTAAGACAGTGCTTCATCTAACTCAGGTTTAACTGGACCAGTTGTTTTAAGTTTGAAAATTTTAATGTTTTCTAACAGAAACCTGAAATCTACAAGTCTCATTAACTATAACTATGTGCTGCAAGTGGAAATCATTTAGAAAAAGAAAAGCTATTTGAAAAAACAGTTCAGTGTTTTTAAGTTCTCTAAACAATTGCATTCCCAAATGGTTCAAACCTCTGCTGAAAAAGAAAACATTTCACCTGAGAAGTCTTTTTATGTGCAGGATGACTGGAAGCAGGGACTTGTTGGTGCCCTTCGAAGCAGCCATGAGGTTTTGCCGTGTACAGGTGGTATGGTCTTAATACTGTCAAATGAACATACGGGCCAATGTCCTTTAAGTCAGAATACTGATGTACCTTTCTAGAAGCATTTGTTAGCATCTGTAAATTTTTCAGTGGGCCAATCTAAAGATCTGAGGACCAGCCTGGACACTGCTATCTGCAGTGGTGAAATGGTATCATCTTACTTTCTAAAGGCAGGAAGAGCAGCACATTGCTCTAGATAACCACACAAAACAGCTACCTGCAGAGTGCTACTTTGAAATCAAGTTGGTGAAGTAGTCTCACTTTGGGGCCGAGGCCAAATAAAACATTAGCTGCTCATGAGGCACACTGAAACGGACAGGTTTCATTCCAGAAGAAATAACCACATCAAGGCCAGGGATACTTCGACTGTTTAACAGTTTGTCTTTTCCTTGGCACTGGGTGGGCAGTCCGAGGTACCTGTGGTCCTGTGCTACTTCTGAGAGGTCTGATTTGGCTTTGAATGTCTTCCAGTAATAGATAACCTACAACTATCTTCTCCAGCCGACTTAAGCAAAAGTGATGAAGTAATTTTCAGATGGCAAAGAGCTCAGTGTAGCTTTGTGTAGCAGGAGTGCTTAACCATAAGGACAACAGGCGAGGCATATAGGAACAGCAGGGACTAAACCTAAGCCCTTAAACATTTAAGACAAAAAAGCTTTGATTGCAAATGTTTATCTTAGTTTCTTGCATGTGTGAAGAAATTAATGGGATGGTAAAAACACCCACCTTCTAAATAAGTAACACCCAAGCAGCCAGATAATTTCTACTATAAAGATAATGTTGGAATCCAATTTTCCCCCGGCAAAATTCTCTTTACAAATTAGAGCAACCAGAAAGCCAATGGCAGAAGATAAGACCTTGACTGAATTGCAAAACCAACATTTCAATTAACATTAAACCTCTAAGCTTTACCTTATGACTGAAATGCTAAAAAAAGTATTACAAGTGAAAACGTGTCTGAAAATAAAGATGTCTATTTCCATCAAATAAACAAGTCTAATTTAGACTCCCAATACAGTATTAACAGCGCAAACGTCCATGGTGAACAATTCTTTTTCCACCTTAAAGCAATGTAGGAAGAATAGCACACATTAAAGTTTGTTACGAAAATAGAGTTTATTAAAAACATCCCTATTGTTTTGAGGAGCTTTCACCGTTACCTTGTCTTAAATTAAAAAAAAAAAATAGAGAGCACTTCTAATTACGATTTGTAAACTTTTTAAAGTCAAAACTTTTAAAAAGTTACAGCAAAAAGGGTAATATTTATTCATATTTTCAGTATTTTTTGTTATTTTGTGGCTATTTTTAAATAGAAGGAAAGCAATCAAATTGCTTACAATTCCCCACCAACTACCGTGGGGCTGTGGTACAGCGGGAGCAAATATAATACAGCATCTGTACATCTCAAGCTCTACACTCTGGAGGTGTCCCTGCACGAAGGGCAAATTCCAGTCTCTAACGAGGAGCTTCTGCTGAGCCAGAATTCTTCTCAGGGTCCATGGACGAGGTAGCCGCAGCAGGAAGCTCTTCGGCGGGTTTGACACCCGCAGGCTCAGACTCCCCTTTAGCCAGTTCAGGGAGAGGGTTGACAGGGCCCACTTGGCTAGCGGGAGGTTCAAGGGTTTTGTTACCACCCGCCCTGTCTGTCACCTCCAGCTTCTCCTTCCCTCGGTTCTCTTCCTTCTCTCTACGCGACTCTCTATCCCTGGAATCTCTCTCTCTGTCTCGGTGCCCGCTACAGCGTCTATTTCTCTCGTCCAAGTCTCTGTGCCTGTCCCGGTCGGGGCTCCTCCTTCCCCACTCTCTCCTCTCCCGCGTGCTATTCTCTCTATCATCGTTCCGGCTCCCGTACCGGTCCCGGTCATTTTCCACCCTATTTCCGAATGATCTTCTTCCGAACCTGTCTTGGTCTCTACCTGAATTGAACTGCTGCCTGCTATCATTCCGAAACGCTTGGGGCTGGGGCTGCGTCGGCGGAGGCTGCTGAGCTGGCGGCGGCTGCTGCTGCTGCTGCTGTTGCTGCTGCTGCTGTTGTGGTGGCTGCTGCTGCGGCGGCTGCTGCGGTGGCTGTGGTGGTGGTGGCTGCTGTTGGGGAGGGGGCTGCCTTCCGTCGCGATCTTCAGGACCCCCAGGGCCGGGCCCTGGGCCTCCGAGCCCTGGCATGCCACCCGGCCTGACGAAAGGGCCATGTGGTGGGAAGGGCCCTTTCATTCCATGAGGGGGTGGCATTCCGAAGCCCCCGGGTCCCGGGGGTGGACCTCGATGCATCATATGTGGCGGCATGGGACGAGGTGGCATCAAAGGGAAACGCTGCAAGTGAGGGGGAGGCATTCCTGGAGGGCGCTGGAGTGGGATCAGGCCGGGCCGGGCGCCGAGAAGACCGGTGGATGGGGCTTGGAGACCAATGACGGGACCAGGGCCAACTCCTTGGGTACCTGAAAGGCAAGCAAAGATGCAAATTAGAAAAGTCAAGCAAGGAGACCAGCCCATTTTCAACTGTTTCCAGGGCAGCTTGAATGGAAAGGTCATTCAGTCCAGAATCTTCACCTATCGTACTGTTTGCACTCTGCCAGTGGAAGGACTCAGCAAAAGAATTGTGGCAAGCGTCTTAAGGGTTTGACATGCTACAAAAAAAGACAAGAGTTGGGGCTGAAGCAATAGCATAGCGGGGAGGGCGTTTGCACTGCACGCGGCCGACCTGGGTTTGACTCCCAGAATCTTATATGGTCCCCCAAGCATTGCGGAGTAATTCCTGAGTACAAAAGCAGGAGTGACCCCTGTGCATCGCCGGGTGTGACCCCCCCCCCAAAAAAGACAAAAGTCATCTGCTCCACCGCCCAGTGCATAGGCAAAGCCGACCTAGTGAATCCTGTTGAAAGCGACAGTGACTGGTTTTCTTCCTAATTCACAGAGGCACAGCTCATGACTGAGAGAGAAGGGATCACCACTGAGCACAACCCAAGTAATGGAGAAGGGAGCACTGAGTTCCAGTTTCTTTCTTTGCACATTTATACACAAGGCGAACATCCTGCTCAATTAGGGGGTCTAATGGAAATGTTTCAGCACTGCCAGAATATGCAAGGGCTGCGAGCAAATGGCTACATGTGTCCTCTCGCCTGGCACTGTTTGAGTGTGAAACCTGGGACACTAAGACTGGCCGCATGCTGTAACCCCCCCATACCCACCGTGGTGCCTTTATTTACTGCCTGGAGCTCTTCCTACAACTTACATTAGCAAACATCTAACAACTCCTGCTAGTTTCTAGATTTTCCGTAGAATCAACAAGGTGATGAAACAAGAAATATCAGCATCAATACCTACAGCTCCAAGTATGTAGCCCAATCTGTTCTGTGACTGCAACATTCTCATAGTTAGTGGACAGTAGCCAAAAGAACAATTTTTTTTTGGGGGGGGGCACACCTGTCAGTGCACAGGGGTTTACTCCTGGCTCATGCATTCAGGAATTACTCCTGATGGTGTTCAGGGGACCATATGGGATGCTGGGAATTGAACATGGGTCAGCCGTGTGCAAGGCAAATGCCCTACACACTGTGCTATTGCTCCAGCCCCAGAAGACCGTCTTTTGGGGGCTGGAGAGAGAGTACAGCGGGTAGGGTGCTTGCCTTGCGGGTTCCCAGAGCCCTTCAAGAGTGATCCTGGAGAGCAGAGCCAGGAATAAGTCCTGAGCACCACCAGGTGTCTCCCTCTGACCCCCCAACCTCGTCAGAATGCTTGATTAAAACTGGTAAAATACAACTTCACACAGGGGTGATCCTGAACTCATGCCTCAGAAATGGGGATACCATTTACCTGACAGTCAATGGGACAAAGTACCTAAGGGTGAGGAGTCAAACAGTGTTTGACTCTACCTTTTCTGGACCATGTCCCTCTTGGACCCCTTCCTGTCCTCCCCTCCTCTATCCTACTGACTGGCTCCCCAGTCTTGTGCCCACTTACAATTTTCATCTGAGCCTCCTTGGAATATCTTGGGGGCCCACAGGAGGTGTGGGCAGAGGTTTGGCTCCTGGTATAGAAGCACTGACATAGCACATACGTAAGAGATGAAATGATGTCTCACATTCTTTCGAAGGATATGAAATACAACATTAAAAATATGCAGAAACATAGGGTCTAAAATTCTAATCATTAATATCTCATAAAGGACTCCCCTGGGGGCTGGAGCGATAGCACAGCGAGTAGGGCGTCTGCCTTGCACGCAGCCAACATGGCCGACCCGAGTTCGATTCCTCCGCCCCTCTTGGAGAGCCCGGCAAGCTACCGAGAGTATTCGATATGCCAGACACAGTAACAACAAAGTCTCCAATGGAGACGTTACTGGGCCCGCTCGAGCAAATCGATGATCAACGGGAGGGCCTTTACCTCGAGCAAAGGACTCCCCACCCACACCCTCAAAGTCAAGCACTTGTGTAGTTGGGAAGAATGTCCACACACTGGCTCCCAGGGCAGGGGGAGAAACTCTTACTGCTAACGTGAAAAGCCAGAAAATGTGAAATGTGTGAAATCAGCAAAAACCAGGCCCCTTTCATAAGTTCTCTCCATTTTTAGGAAAATCTCACAGCCAGAGACACGGCTCAAAGGGCTGACCACGTTTTGTATGCTAGAACCCCTGGGTGTGATGCTCGGCACTGCATAGCCCACTGAGCAGTCTGACCCCCAGACAGAGTGCTCCCTCAAAAAAAGGAGGAAATTTTCAGGTGATATACACAGAATCATGACTTATAGTCTAGTACCGGATGGAAACTGTCTGTGGCCAATTGGAACCTTTAGAGAATATTAATGGGTATCTAACACAAGCACCTAAGTCACATCCTTGCTCTCACACTGAAAAGAACTTGTAGCATGGTTCCAACAACTGTGGACTTCAAATCAAATGGAAAGCAACCTAAAATGTACGCCTTTAGTTTTCCAAAGAAGTGATATATAGAGTTGATTTTCCTCTTAGACTTCGAAGGCTAAAGGGCCATTGTTCATACTGTATTTTAGAGGTCAGTGTGGTACATCGAGTGGCTATTTATGGGACCACTGGCAAAATCGGCAGTAACACAAGCAAAATGACAAAGGAAGAAGTTCAAATTATCTTGTTAAAATTCAGGCACCTTTTAGAGAAAACAATGGGAAATGGTGGGCTGATTCCCAATTTTGATGAGTGGCTCTGCAACTAGCAACAAAACATGGCAGAAGCACCCTGAATGTTGTCCAGAAGAGATCAAATGGGCAAGAGTTTATAAAATAAAGGCAGCACTGAAGGACATTACTTTGATATCCGTATCCTGTTTAGGAGCTAGAGCGATAGCACAGCGCGTAGGGTGTTTGCTTTGTACGCGGCCAACCCAGGTTCGATTCCTCCACCCCTCTCGGAGAGCCCGGCAAGCTACCGAGAGTATCTCGCCTGCACAGCAAAGTCTGGCAAGCTACCCGTGAAGTATTCAATATACCAAAAATAGTAATAACAAGTCTCACAATTTGTGATGAGATGTTACTGGTGCCCACTCAAGCAAATAGATGAACAATGGGAGGACAGAGCTACAATGCATCCTATGTGGGGGAGGGTACTTACAGATGGACTTACAGTGCTTATAGTGCAGTCAGTTAAACTTCCTTTAAAGTACTTTGTTGGGGGGAACACCTCTGGTGGTGTTGGGGTGGGACTCAGGCCTCCTGCATGCAAAGTATGCCATGTCTTCTCCAGCACTAAAGCCCACTTTTATCTTTTGGGGTCACACCCAGCAGTGGTCAGGCCTTATCTTGGCTCTGCACTCAGGAATCACTCCTGGCTCGGGAGACCACATGAGGTGCTAGTGATCAAACCTGGGTCTGACATGTGAAATGCGAGTGTTATACACGAGGTACTCTATTTCCAGCCCCTAAAGCACATTTTAATAAAGAAATATTTATTCTATCCATGCGAAAATTTATATTTGGGATTTATTTATACAAATTCCTTACCTGACTCGTATATAAATGGATCTTCCTTATGTGCTGTTAGAACCAGCAAAATTTAAGATTCCTTGGGGCAGAAAAATGGCTGCAAGGACTACAGCATATACCTTTGTGTGCAGAAGGCCCGGGTTTGGTCTCCAGCACCCCAGGGTCCTCTCCAAGCACCCTCAAGTGGGGCCAAAACCACCAACCAAAATTTCAAAATCCTTGGCAAAATATCCCCTATAGATTTGCGCTCAGACAAGAGGTTTTTTTTTTTTTGGGTCACACCCGGCAATGCTCAGGGGTTACCATATGGGATGCCAGGGATCAAACCCGGGTTGACCACGTGCAAGACAAACACCCTACCCGCTGTACTATCACTGCGATCCTCAGCGGTGGTTTCTTTTCTGATCTGTAGCATTTATGTATATATGCATACATAGTTAATGATATTTCTTTTTACAATGAGTATGTATTGCTTTTATACTAGTATATTAAAAAAAAACCCTATACAGTGGCACAAGCCTTTGATAAGTAGAGATGTTCTAATTTCTATTAAGAAAAGTTTTGGGCTGGAGAAATAGTATTTGCCTGCCTTGTATGTGGCCACTCCAGCTCGATCCCTTAGTCTCACTCAGGAGTGACGCCTGGACAGAGCTGGGAGTAGTCGTTCCCAAATACCCCCAGTAACAGCACCCAAATACCCCCAATAAACAAACCTACTATGCACATGAACTAAATAGTGAATAAACGAGATCTAAAGGGCATTCAGACATTACAAGTATGATGTACAATATTGTTTTCTAACTAAAAATGAAGACCTACTCCTAAAATGAATTAATATAAACATTTAATGTGCGGATACAAAGCTTGGAAAAAGTTCTTTCCTCCCAACAGTCCAGAATCCTGTAGAAAGAGACAACTAAATTATTGTAAGAGCAGGGATGAACTAAAATGGGAAAGGAGGTGAAATCCGAGGGATGTCTGAGTTGGGTATCAAGGGAAGGGACATGAAGCCAGTAGAAGAAAGGAATAGCATTCCGGATGCGGTGTTGTCCTGAGAACAGAATGTCCTTTGGACTACAGAGGAGGAGGCTTACTAATGAAGCAGCCAGGTTTGCATGAATACATATTATCCATTAAAAGAAACGCTGGCTCCTGTGATGAAGGAATTGGGCTGTATCAATTCAGAGGTCTTCTAAGCCTGGAGAATGGGAACAGGAGCTTTAACCTAAAGGGAGGAGAAAAATACTACGATATCTTTGACCCTTTTAGCTTAAGAGGATGCTGGAAAGGAAGGGGGTGTGGAGGCAATGGAGAATAAATCAGCTCTCACCCAGAGCACCTAAGGTCAAGTGAGAAAAGTGAAACAGAGGAGCTATAACAGCTGCCACGGATTGAAGACATTTGGTGCAGAGGACTGACAACACACAAGAACACACTCTCCACTTCCAATGCCAGTAAAGAAATCAAAGCAACGCAAATTTAAGAG